CACGCTATTGACGAATTACTTCACTTGTAATGCCATCTTTTTTGCGTAGCCTATAGGAGAGACATCATATAAACTTATTATAAGCATAATGTGATTTATATTCTCACACTAATACAAATAATTTAAATAACCAATAGGAATTAGGTCTAATAAAAAAAGACTGATTCCTTACAACATGGCGAACCATGTTAGGACTTGATAGTGTCTTGAATAGGAGGATACATAAGCTTTAGTAACAAAAACAGAGAATAATTTAAATAAAATAATTGTTTCTTTTTTCAATACACATTTTTTCTTCATGAAAATATTTCTCTCCAGTTCTATAATTTCTATTGCCACGTTTGAACTATTTTCCTTAATAGTGTTTTTTCCATACCACCTGGACCATAAGAATGGAAATAAGAAGTATGAGTAACTGGTTTCAAATCCTTCTTTGGCATTACTCTGGTACTAGGTCATAAATGTTGAACTTCAATAATTAATTTGTAGAGATTAAAAAATTAGTTTAGTTGTTTGTTAATAAATGTATGTTTTCATAAAATAGTTCTTTTAATAATTTGCATTGAAAATTATTCTCTTAATTATAAGATCCTTTAATATATGTAATTGACAGGAAGAGTTAAGGAAAAAATAATCGTAAATTTGGAAAACAAATAAATTGAGTTACTAATTTAGAATTAAAACAAACTGTTAGAATAGCCCTTATATTTATAATGAAAATGAGTATAATCAAAATCCGTAGGGTTGCTACAAAAAGTTTATTTATTAAGATCTAGCAGTTTTTAACATTTTTAATTTAGTGGCAGCTGTTAAAAAATATGCTGATTAATGTTATGCGCGTAACAAATCATATATCTCATTGATATTCTGATGTCTTATGATATATGCTGTAGACTTAAATTTAATAATTTTGGTAAAAAGAAAAAGACTTAAATTTGACAATAAAATGACTGTTAACGTTTTCTCCCAAGAGATAGACTATACATACCCCCTCCATCCTTTTTTATAAAAAAAAAAAAAAACAGTTTCTCTTATTATTATAATAATGTTCCTAAATATAAGAAATAAGTCCTCCTTGTTTGAAATGTTAAACTAGCTTTTTTTTACTTTTACCTCCATTATTAAACATATGCTACCTATTATCTCTTAGCAATAAATGTTCATTCATTGTCTCATGTATTCTTTCTACAAATAATATTACTCTGATCTTATTTATAAATCACTTCCAACATGTTTCACACAAATAAAAAAAAATCTTAAATTTTATTAACTCTCATTGAAAATTTAACAACTTTTCAATTTTATTACATATTTATTGTACATCTATACAAAAAATTCCTTTCAATGCCCTATAATAGGACCCAAAAAATGTTTTTTCTATTTATCTTGATAGTTGAAATATATATTACATATTTATTACTTTTAAGTAATATTTTAAACCGTGTGATTTCAGTAGTAACTGTTTCTTTTTAACAAAAGACACAGGAAGCATTTCTTATACGAGATAGTCCGGAAGACCATTTTTGCTTAAACTAATTGGATTTTTTACATATAAGAAAAAAAATCAGATAATTTATAGTAACAAGATGCATTATATTCAAATGTCTACCAACGAAGAGTTAGCTAATTCATTAGTGATATAAGTTGATAGGAAAAAAATAAAGCAAACAATTTATCAAAAATGGAAAAAAAATAATCCATCTCACTTTTGAAAAGATACTTTTTCCATAAAATTCAGCGGATCAAGTCCGGAGAAGGAAAGAACTCATCAAGGTTAGAATAATTCTCAGTCCACAAAATATTTTCAGTGTTTTTTGCAAAGAAAAAATCGTTTCAGATTGCTAAAAAATGTCCCTCGGTTCTAATGGTTGTCATCATATATTCTCTTATTAAAAATAATTTTATTTGAGACACTATACTAAATCATATCTATTTTTACTTATGGGCAATACCTAACAAATAATTACACCCAACGATACCTATCAGACCCACCAAGTACTCGAGCCTTTTTAAAGTGGACAAAAAATGCACTTTAACTTGCTTTGAGAAATTTTATAATGTTTATTCATATATTCTAAAATAATGCAAATTTAAAGAAAAATATTTATGATTATTTTGAGGAGCTAATTTTTACAAGCTTTTGCAAATAATAAGATAAGATGTGATAGATAAAAATCAAAAGCCATATTTTTCCTAATAAGATTGTTATATTTCCAGAAACTGATCTGAAATCCCACTAATCTTTTTCAGATAGGCATTAAACAAATTGGACAAATTGTTGTTCACCAACTCACCGTGAAATTGAATCGTCACTTTAGCCACCACTCATTAACACTGCTTTTTCAAAAATGAACCCGGAGACTTGATGCCACTCAGTTATTTTTGGTGAAGAACCCCTCGTTCTTGCCTAACAGTAACTTACTGGAAACTCAGAAGTGTAGATAAACCTTGTGCATAAAGTCAGGCTATTGGATCATTAATAAATGACTCACAGAAATAGCAGTGATTGAGCAGATCCGTATAAAATGTTGCTTCTTCATTCACCACATAGCGAAGCCAGGCCTTGTTGTTACAGTAATTACTGCATTAAACTAGCCCAACCACAGCTCTTTATGGCCCTGAACTAACCCACCTACCCAAACAATCACTCCCACGTGCCTTTGTCCCATCATCATCTTCTACTTTGCCTCATCCCCACCTACGCAGTCATAAACACTTGCCCTAATATTTTGATATTATCCACCCCCATCAACACACAGCTCAAGCTTGATGGGTTTGTATGCAGTTTCACTAATGAAAAACAACAAAACAATTTCCAGCCCATATCATGGATATATCTCAGGTAACATATTATATATTGTTCAGAGTTTCGTCCAGTCTTAAATGCCACCTAGTTTCAATATATGACCTAAGAACTTGTAAAGCAAATTATGACATAATAAACTTAGGTAGTTGCCTTATAAAAAGTAATCGGCAGTGTATTAGATTAAAGTTGTTATATAAAAATTAAACTTAAACAGTTGCTATATTAAGCTTTAATATAATAAATACTCCATCCGTTCCTTATTATAAGAGATATTTGATACTTATGGCATGTTCCTATATATAAGAGACACTTAAAAGTTGTCTCTATTTTTTTGTGTTGATTTCCTATTTTACCCATATTTATTATCTCCAACTCACACTCTCTCTCCCTCCCACTTCTCTTTCTTTTAATAATTTAATTGTTCTCTCTCATGCTCTCTCTCCTTATTAATGAGGGCATTTTTGAAAAAAAAATTATACTTTTTACACATTAATTGTTCTTAACTAATTTTAACTATTTTTTTTATTAACGCATTTCGGTTATTTGTCTCTTATAATAAAGAACAGAGGGAGTAACAAATTAGGCAATAAGCCAAGCTTATCATCTATAATGTGTTATATTGAAGGACATGAGATTGCAGAGTAATTTAATGATTTTAAGGGGTTTTTTTTTTTCTATGAATCGTTGAGTGGGACGTAAGAGTGATTTTCCCAAAGTTTTTCTGTCATGCCCTTCCCTCCCTTTTATAAATACCATACGCTGAAACCTCAACTAACGTAGTATCCCAAAACTCAGGCCAGTCCGAACTACCATCTTTACCAAGAACAGAGACTAATGGCAAGTTCACTTGTGGCGAGGTTGCTTAGCTTATTGATTGTGTGCCTAGCACTTTGTTCTCCTAAGGCCAACGCAGTGACATGCGACCAGGTGATGACCGACCTGTCACCCTGTGTTCCCTACATAGTCAACGGCGGTGCCACCGTGCCGGGGCAATGCTGTAATGGGGTCAGGACCCTCTTTAACCAGGCTCAGACCACACCTGACCGCAAAACCGTTTGCAACTGCATCAAGAATGCTATTAGGAACATCCCTTACAATAACAACAATCTTAACCTCGCTGCTGGCCTTCCTAGGAAATGTGGGGTAAACATTCCTTACCAGATCAGCCCCAATATTGACTGTAGCAGGTAATTTGAATCCTCTTTCTTATGTTGTCTTTCTCAAAACAAATATTTGAATCTAAGACTTGTTGCTAACTATCCAGACTCTTTATCACTAGACTACAATCAATCTTTGTGGCGTGTTTGCCTGATGCACTTGACTGATTTATCTGCATGAAAAGTTTAGGTAGATTTGGTGCAAATGATCAATAGACTAAAGACCAATAGTACGTTCCCACTTAAATGCGTGCTTATGATGCTCACCTGTCTCTATTCATTCTTTCTCAAGCCTTAACCCCATAGGTGGGTCATCTACATGAATTGCATAACGTCATTATTGTCTGTAAAAAAATCAAATCTTCAGATGTCAGCCAAAAATTTTATGTTGATCCATGCTTACATGTCTCTGTGCTACACAAAAAAGATTGCCTAAGAATTTTTCCTCAATATGTTGTACTGCTTACTGCCATCTCTGGTGGGGGTCTGATATTATTAAAATATGGCATAATGCAGCAGGTAATCTGCACTAATAAACAGCATGAACTATATACCCCTTTATTATCGGCCTTTTTTATTCTTACGGGCTTTTCTTTTTCTTGGATGCAGAGTGCAGTAAGGTTGATGGAGAAGTAATTGAGGGATGTAGCAGCATGTGTGTGAATAAGTGGTTACAACCCACATGGAAGATCATTAGCGAACCTGCTTCTTTGAAGCATGATCTAATCTACTAGTCTTCTTGTATCTCTGGGTAGTTGTAGGGCCCGTACTGCTTCTATATGCTGCTATGCCCTAGGCAGAGTAATGCAATGTAAAAGCAGCTGTTTCCTTAATGATATGCAGTTTGTGTTGGTAGTTGATTTGAAAACTTTATGTTTCATTATAACTTTTGGTAGCTCAACATGTCACTTCGGATATTTCAAGTTCCCTAAACCTACAAGGACTTTGGAAACCGTTAGATTTCTAGATCCAAAATAAGATAAATAAGAAGGGGTTATGAATTAAGATTCACAAATAATTCATATGTTACCAGGGTCTCAACGCAAATGGAGAGATACAATGACTATGTAGGCTGGTATGAAAGAAATCTCCACGCAACGTCACAAAACAGCAAACTTTTATGCCTTAAAGTAATGAAAACTGATACCAACTACAAATTATTATTTTGACTCCCAACATCATCCAGTGCTAGTATAACTAAAAATCTGCCCAAAAATATACAGCAAGGGTTAAAATAAATAACGCCATCTATGGATTTACCTGCAAAGAATTCAGGGCTTCATTTAAGAGCAACCTCTTTTGCAACTTCATCCTCAAGTCTACAGTCTACGCAGCTGCACTTATGTTACGTTCTTCATTTTTTAGCAACAAATATATATACACTTGGCAATGCAAAGTTTATGCCTTGGCCAAGAACTGAGATTGTTCGACACGTGGCAACATCTACCCCTTTGAGGATAGCATGAGAGAGGTGGTCTGACAGCCATTACCATGACCCTCAAGGTAAGTGCCAAAGGTTGAAGTCTACAGCAGATGTGATACTTGTCAATAAAGAGTCCAAGGAGGTGAAACAAAAACCCATAGCTTTGCAGCTTGCAAGTCAACAAAGCAGGAAGAAAAAAGAAGATTTAATGGATAAAAATTGCTTTACCATGAATAGAACGGGGTGACGTTTATTCAGTGTCCCTTGTTTCTGCAGACAGAATGTGTCTGTCCATTCGGATCACGTAATTATTTATCAAGAGTCTTAAACGTAGGTTTTCTTCCCTTAAGATGTCCAGCTCTTTCTTCAAATCAGCGTTCTGTGCTTCAAATTGTGAATTTAGAGAAACCTGCCTCTGAAGAAGTCTATTTTCCTCCCTTAATCGGCTCATTTCCTCCTTCAATCCAGCATATTTGGCTTCCGACATGACAGCCCTCTCCCTCAAATCATCCTGTTACCCAAATAAGTCTCTCATTTCATGATTCAATGCAGATAAGTATATATGAAGAAATTCAATGATATATAATCTCACATCACAAATGCGCAACTTTGTCGGAGTGTCCTCCACAATGAGTTTTTCAAGGTTGACCTCTTGCTCACTGCATACTTGATCACAAATGCTTTTTGTGGGGCTAACCTCTTCTGTTAGGTTTTTAACCTCTCTGTGAGCTTCATCACATGTGCTGCTCTCTGTGGGGGTATCCTCCACTATCAAGTTTTCAAAATTGACCTCTCCATGAACTCTATCACATGTATTCAACTTTGTGGGAGTGTCCTCCACTATTTGGTTTTCAAAATTCGACTCCTCTCTATGAATTTTATCAAATGCGTTCAACTCCGTGGGAGTGTCCTCCACTATTTGGTTTTCAAAATACTCCTCCTCTCTATGAACTCTACCACATGTGCCCAACTCTGTGGGACTGTCTTCCACTATTTCGTTATCAAAATTGACCTCCGGCTCTTTTTGCAATTCATGAGATTTAGAAGTACTGTCTGTAGCTCTGAATCTACATCAGGAACCTGCTTACACGCGATTCCAAATCAATCATAAAAAAACAAGAGGCACGCATGCATAATTGAAATGGAAGTTCCAGAAGAATAGAAAAATGATTTATTTAGATTTGAAGCAAAAGTCTGTTAACAGATCGCTTCTGATAATAGCATTAATTGATTTTAATTAAATTCGTCCACTTCAATTAAAACTGTTACTTACGCTGATTGATGTACTTGTTGAACAGTTTGGCCCGCTTTGAAGCTCCTTAGAGTCATCTTGTAACTCTAACGCCTCTTTGATTATGTCTACTTCCAACTCTTGAGGAGTTGGTTGGAGCGTCCAAATTACCTTGCACATGCAGATAATAAAGGAATTAAATTCCCACTTCACCCTGATTTTCTTACAGCTTTAGAAAGCATTTGACTGAGAATTAATTATATGGCACCATCATAAGATTCCAACATCAAAATAACATTTTCAATAGCAGCTTCAGACAAGAGGATGCACAACGCTTTTGCTACTTCAGTCAGTACACATGTTTTCCCCCGCAGAGGAGCCACTAACATAGGAATAAAATAAAATTTAAAGAAAGTTTTTATGTTACCTGGTCATCCTGCAAACCCTTAAACCTTGAAGCAAACCAAGGTCTTTGATTGGATTTACTATTATGCCATCGACACAAACGAGGAAAGGCCAAATCGTGTTCTTGTATACCAGGCCGGCCTATGTTAAAATGTTCATAAGACCATGTCTGTTGGCCATAAACAAGAAAGTTAAGCAATAACACTTACAAGAAATCTAAATACGGACCAAAGGTTGACGCCATGAAGAAATAAAGGTTGGTACATAAGAGTCCATCATATAAGTAACAAAATAGCCATCCGCTAAAACTTACTTGAAGAAACACGAGACAACCACCCACATATTGCACATTATTTTCTTTCCTCTTGTCCAACCACTTAGATAAATCTTCGATGACAGCAGCACCCCAGGCAAATTGATCAACCTCGTCCAAATTTCGAAGAAGGGATAAATAGCGAGAATCTACTTTTCCATTTGAACTCTGAAAAAGCAAAGTGCCAAATGTATACAGTAGAAATGCCCTGATGAAATCATCACCAGCAGAGTCTCCCAGAGAATCAAGTCTACTTTCAAGTGAAGCCACTGCAACCTTTCTGTTTGACATGGTTGCACCGTATTCCTCTTCCAAATCAGAGAAAGGCTCGTCGTCTTTTAAGTGCACAGGATGGCCCACTACCCTTAACCCCAAAATCAGGGCCACATCCAACAGAGTCATCGAAATTTCACCCAGATGAAAAATAAACGCTTGCTTTTCACAATCCCATCTTTCCATGAGCTCAGCTAATAGATTTTTGCTGAGCGAATGATTGGGAAATGATAACACACTGCCAAACCCCATTTTTGTAATTGCTGATCTTTGCTCATCAGTGAGCAGCTGAACTCTCTTCACGTACGATTTCAAGGAGAATCTAGTACTGACATTCCTCACCTAAAGAGATAAGGTTCGGTGAAGTTATGAAACGCATAACTGGGAGAAGATTAAGCAATCGCGGGGTTGCAACAGAATATGTACGACACCAAGCATACCCAATTACAATACAGAGACTCAGCATCCAGAAAGTCAATTATCCACAAAAAAGTAACGAAATTGAAGTCAAATTTTTCGTTTCCAATGGTTTCTTACTAACCAAAGAGATTATAAAGCTTCAGATACAATGAAATCGAAACGATAATTGAAAAGGGGAAGAAGACTGTACCGGTTCTTCGACTTCAACTGAAGTAATGAGGGATCTTCTGGTGGATCTTCTCATTGCGAACTCGATTCTATAATTCTTGACAACACAGATTTCGAACGAAGAATTTTGAAATATAAACCGCAGAAGCTCAAGAGGCAAGCCTCGCGGGAAGGCAAAGCTTGTCGAGAAAGCTGGACTTCAAAATGGATGACGTGTTCCAGAGATACCAAGAAGGCGCGAAAATCTCAAATGAGTACTTATAGGGGTATTTCACGCTTTCGTAGGAAAATTAAATCCAAAATCGTATAAAAAAGAATTAAAATTTTAAAAAAAACCTTATTTATTATAAAGTTGTATAAAGCATTAATTAAATTACTTCCTTGGATACCATTTCTTTTTATTTTTCACAACTAATACTTTTCCGATCTTTAATATAAGATCTATTTAACTAATTTGATTAGATTAAAGAAGTTAGGTAGGTTAGTTAATTATAAGAAAAGTGACATATTTTTTCTAAAATACCATAATCATCTTTCTTAATACCACTCTCCCTCTTTTACTTGATTATAGTTAAAGAAGTATCTATAGGGATAATTTAGAGAAAACTGATAAATATAAAAAATGGATCTTATATTTAGAACCAAAACCAATTTAAGAATTGAGTTTTATATTAAGGACCGGAAGAATAATTAGAAATCCCATTTGTTTTGTCTAGAAACACACTTGATTATATGGAGATGAGAAGTGTGAAATTCTTCAAATTCACTGGGTAGATACATGCTAGGGTGTTTGTCACGCAAAACGCCCAAGGAGTTAAAAATTTAAGGATTGACATTTGTGAAATACAAGAAGCTAAATAAGGTGAAAGGTAAGAATCATGATTTGCTTTCTAATTAGTTAAGCTAAATGTTATCCATGGCCGTGTTTTTTTAATAAATAGTTTTTTGTTCTTTTAAGGAAAAACTAATACCACTTCTGGTTTTTAATATAAGATCTAGTTAATTCATTTGAATAGATTAGAAAAATTTGTTGAGTTAGATATTTGTAATAAATAAATGTTTCTTTCCTAAAATATCTTTGTTAATCATATTTATTACCTAAAACTACTATTTAATGGAATTTTTAACTTGTGTAATTGCTATAAGGACTATTTTAGAAAAAATAGTTAAATATGAGAGACAAAATGAATTAATGTCTTATATTTAAAATTAAATTAAAAATCAAACTAACTCTTATACTACCTCCGGTCTTAATTATAAGAGTAGTTGACTAATTTAAGGAGATTAAGGAAAGAAGTTAAATTAATTATTTGTAATAAATAGATGTTGTCTTTCCTAAAATATCCTTGCTAATCAAGTGTATTGGCTATAACTATTATTGTTAGAATAACTATTTTGAGAAAAAATATATATAAATATAAAAGACAAAATGGATTAGATCTTATATTTAAAATCAAAATAAAAATCAAATAAATTTTTATATTAAAAACCGGAGATAATATTAAAAATAGGCGCAGCAGTTATGTGGGTCATGTGGCGGATATTTTTCGTTCAACTATTCCCTCTTCTTCGAAGGATCCGGCGCCTCAATTTCATAGTTCAAAAGAACAAAAAGTAAACATTTTACGCATCAGCGTCAGTTGGCCCACCTCCTCATACCTGCTTCTTGCTTCGGCAGCCACCTGAAGCCCCGTTTGAGAAGGAAGCGGGTAAATTAATTGGCATCTCAAATAACTGGTCGTTATGCACGTTCAGCCCAGAGCAATCTCCATGGCAGTGTTGTGATTTGCAGGACCAACTAAAGAAGTCAAGAAAATGAAGGACCATAAATTTGGTCAAAGGCCTTTTCTTGCAGCAGCAGGCACTGATATACTACCTTTGCTCTTTAATGTAAGAATATAAGAGTTGGTTAAATAATTTGAGTTGATTAAAAAAGTTTGTTAATAAGTTAATTATTTGTAATAAATAGATGTTTGTCTTTTCTAAAATATCCTTCCTAATCATGTGTATTAACTAGAATTACCATTTGATAGAATTTTTAACATGTATAATTACTCAATGACTATTTTAAAAAAATAGATAAATATTACCTCTGGTTCTTAATATGAGACCCCATTTGACTTTTATTTTAGTCCTAAATATAAGACATATAAGACCCTGTTTGACTTTTATTTTAGTCCTAAATATAAGACATATAAGACCTAGTTTGATTTTTATTTTGTTCCTAAATATAAAACCCCAATTCATTTTTTCTCATATTTATTTATTTTTTCAAGGTAGTCCTCCTAATAATAGTAGTTTTAGCCAATATATTTGATTAGTAAGGATATTTTAGGAAAAACAACACCTATTTATTACAAATAACTAATTTAACTTATTTCCTTAAACTACTCAAATTAGTCAACTAGCTTTTATATTTAGGATAGTATGAGACATTAAGTGGATTGAGATTTTATATAGAGCCGGAAAAACGGGCCGAGCCCGTCGGACTAGCCCGTTTAAGCCCGATTAAGTCAAGGGTCGGGCTTGTAATATGAAGCTTCCAAAAGTAAATTGGGCTTAAAAGGGCCAACCCTGTAGGGCTTATAATTAAACGGGCCGGCCCGTTTAAGCCCGCTATTTCTTTTTTTTTTTTGAGAAAAAGAAAACCCCAAGTCCCCAACTCCCTAACTCCCTAACCCTAATCGGCTGACCCTTCCGCCTTCCCTTCTCTTACACTGTTAGTCACTTAGTCTGTTGTTACACACACACTCTTGACCGACCAGAGTCTTCCTTCCTTCCACTTCTAGTTTCGCAATTTCGGCCACTCACGTCTCAGTGGTCTCATGCTCTCAGCCTCTCACGCGGACTCTGGCGCTCACCGTCACAGCGTCGCTCAGTAGACAGTAGTAGCACTCACTCTTCGAGTTCGAGTCGTCTCATCCGTCTTCGTCTCTCTCGGTCTCCTACTCTTGGTCTCCCAGTTCCAATCTGTCTCGACTCCGACTCCTAGTCCCAGATCCCCACAGAGACAGATTTACAGACCACCGTCGGCGTCGGCAGTCACCCTCACTCCCGTCGCCTAGTCATCATCTCTCTCGGCCTCACCTCACGCAGATTCGCACATCGCAGATTGTTGGCAATCACCCACTCACCGTCGCCGTTGCCGTTTACAGAACACCAATCGCACATCGTAGATTCGCAGTCACCGTCGGCCGTCGCCTATAGCCCACCTTTGCTTCGCCAGTTCCCCCTCTGCTTCCCTTGTTCCCCCATCGACCAACGTCCTTGCATCCCCGGTCAATCAGCTCCCTTGCTGTTCGTGAGTCTGTCCAACCTCAAGGCGTGCGTCGTGCAGTACCACCTCTCCACCGACCAGTAACCAGCGTCAGCATCTCTACTCTAGTGAGTCTTTGCTTCATTCCTGATTTTATAGTTTAGACCACCCAATTTTAGACTCTCTAAATCGTTTCTGAATTCTGATATGGATTACTGTTTGATGTTTATTTATTAATTGCCTACTAATATACATTAAGAGGAATAGAGGATCCTAAATTGTAATTTTTTGCTGATTCTTGGCAGGCTGGCAGCATCATGTCTTTCTCACCGCAGCAAAGAGAAAAGGCTCAAGGGACTGATGATGCATCATTAGCTATGGATGGCAAAGGTAAATCATCTTCTATTCAAGTGACCGAAGAACCAAAACCAAAGAAGCCTAGGATTTTGACCTCTGATGTTTGGAAGTATTTTACTAGAGTTAAGATTGATGGGGTGAATAAGGCAAAGTGTAATGGTTGTCAAAGTTTATATGCATCGGGTGGGGATAAAGGCACTTCACATTTAAGTCGCCATATTAAGACTTGCAAAAGTTTAGACAAATTTCATGATATTGGATTGATGATGATGGACAGTGAAGGCAACATAAGGTCTAGAAAAATTGATCATAATCGTATTAGGGAGGTTATGACTATGGCCATAATTGAACATGGTCTTCCTTATTCATTTGTTGAATATAGATGGATTAGGGAACTACTTAGAATGTTAAATCCTGATGTGAGGCTCATGACTAGAAAAACGATTGTGGCTGATGTTATGAAGTTCTTCCACCAACAAAAAAATAATTTGAAACAGAAATTGCAAAAAAGTATAGGTAGAATATGTTTGACTTCTGATTGTTGGACTGCTGTGACTTCTGAAGGATATATATGTTTGACGGCTCATTTTGTGGATGAAAAGTGGACACTAAATAGTAAGATACTTTCATTTTGTAGAATGGAGCCTCCACATTCTAGGGTACAATTGTCTAAAAAAGTGTATGATTGTTTGAAAGAATGGGGGATTGAGAATAAAATATTCTCAATTACTCTAGATAATGCATCTGCAAATGATAACATGCAAGACTTACTAAAAGAGAAGTTGCTTTTGCAAGAAAACTTTGATTTGATTTGTGGTGGTGAATTTTTTCATATAAGATGTTGTGCCCACATCCTTAACTTAATAGTTCAAGAAGGTTTGAAAGTAGCAAGTAGTGCTTTATGGAAGATTAGAGAGAGTATTAAATGGCTGAAGGCATCTGATGCAAGAATGATTCAGTTCAAGCAATGTGTTGAGCAAGTAGGTGGCATTGACACTGCAATGAGCCTACGATTAGATGTGCCCATTAGATGGAACTCTACTTATGCAATGCTTGAGAGTGCACTTAAATATCGCCGTGCTTTTGCAAACTTTGCTTTGTGTGATTCAAACTACCCAAGATGTTTTAATCTGATAAACGATGAGTGGAATAGAGCAGAGGCAATGTGCAGTTTCTTGAGGCCATTTGAAAAGATAACAAGGTTGATTTCTGGGTCATCATATCCTACTGCCAACTCTTATTTTATACAAATATCAAAAATTGAGATGTTACTTGATGCAAACATGAAGAGCATTGATGATGTGATTAGAGAGATGTCCAGAAGAATGAAAGAAAAGTTTGACAAGTATTGGCAAAATTACAATATTCTTCTTACACTTGCTGTGATTTTTGATCCAAGATGGAAGTTTAACATTATCAAATATTGTTATGCAAAGATTGACCCTGTCACTTCTTCTGAGAAGATTGCCAATGTCAAGAGCA